GCACTGCCGGCCACTGGTGTGCTATGACACCAAACTGCAACAAAGCACAAAATAGAGGAATGGGAGGGTCTCCCAAGGGTACATACGCACTATGCCGCCCCAAATCACCTCAAAACATCAAGGGAGAGGCATAGTCGGATCCACGACCATCAATTACGCATCCCGATGCATGATGGCCAAAGATCCAACTTGTGCAAATCAATATGAAAATGAATGCACAAATAAAGCAAGTAAAGCCTAGAACTCTATCATGAATCATCAAGAGCTTCGGCGACCAAGAATTGAGACACGTTCCATCACTCGAAGTATGAAACGCCCCTCGTTCCTCGTGTTCAGACTAACACTTAATCCAAACAATGCAACGCGTAAGGATGGCAAACATGCAATGTGAATAACCTAACAAGGCTAATGACATGCAACAAGAACATAGGCATGATGTGAGGTGACAACCTTGAACAACATGGCAAAATGCAACATGGATATGCAAACATGCAAGGCACACAAAGGCGGACAAGTATGCAACAACATACAAGATGAAACAAGCATGCGACAACATGGTAAGATGGGCTTACACCAAAGATGGACAGCTTTCAAATAGGCCCAAATCAGTAGCCATAAGTGATGAATTGATGGCATGAAAAGCATGAAATGGCAAGGCAAACATGTATGCCAAGTGGCTCAAGTATTAAGGCACAAAAAGGACAACTCTTAAGCACACTTAAGGAGTAACAAACACGGATGTATGACAATGAGGTATGCTCTGAAATTTCATGTAAAGTGATGCCAAATCAAATCAACCATGCAAGCATAGCATGTCATGATGCTCAAAGCTCCAAGTAAGCAAAGGGACTTAAGCCACGGCCATACAAGGCAAGCCCCAAGGGGCCGAGGGGACCTAAAGCAGTCCTAGGGTAGGTCCAAACAAGACCAAAACTAAGCTCAAAGCTAGCCAACAAAGGCTAGAACACAAAGCTAAAAACATGGAGCATGCAAGGCTTTAAAGAGGCAATGCACTACACCTATTGAAACCAAACATGGCATGACTTGGGCGACATAAAACAGAGTTATATCATGGTATAATAAGACTCAAAATGCATTAAAATGATGAGCCAAAGGCTTGGGCTTAATGGCATGCACAAAAGTCCATTCTTGAGGCATAAAGCACAAGCTCTATAAAGCATTCAAGGCATGTCAAATGCAAGTATATGACAACATTTCATGGACTAAAATAGCATATAGAATGAGGGCAAAGCATGCAAACATCACATGTATGGCATGGTAGGGGCCTCAAAACCCAAGACTAGCCTAAGCATTTACACTATAGCTATACAAAACATGAGTGATATGGCCATGGCAGCCCAAAATAGTCCTAGAACACTTCAAAATAAGCATAAAATCAAGTTTGAGTAAAGCCAAAATATGCTAGTATGATGAGTCAAAACATCATGCACAAATGGCTAGTAAACAAGATTTGTTCTACACCTATATGGAGCATGCAAAGAATGATCGAACCAACTATGGATAGGGTCATAACATGCCAAATGATGACCAAATATATGCTGAAATGTAAACCAAACAAGCTAAAATGACATAGCATAGCATGGATCATATGAAGCTAGTTTAGGAGATTTAAACTACAAGTGCATCATGCAAGCATGGAGTAACAAAACCAACCCAAAACAGGTTCATGGCATGGTAAAACATCACCAAAAATTCACTGAAATGGACTCAACACAAGCTAAGCACACATGCTACTTTGATGAGCTATGGATGGAGTTACACTACACATCCTATATGCATGCAAAATATGACCGAACTAGCCATGGACAGGGCCAAGGCAGGTTCTAAAAGTCACAAAAATAGGCCTGAACCAAGCCTCAAAAATACATAGATGGATGGTCCTTTGGAAGGCCAAGAATGCAAGCAAAGAGGAACCAAAAGAGAGGGGGCCACCCCCTCTGATTAAGGACCTCAAAACCACACCTTTACCACTGCCAAACCAAGGCTAGCTCGGAGGTTCCAGGATAAGGCTTAAAACAAAGCCAAACAAAGCATGCAAGAGGGCTACACACCCCTAACAGCAAAATGACCTTAAACAACTTAAAAAGGACTTGAATACAAGATTTTTTTTCAGTTATAAGCAAAGCCTAAATCAATATGCAAAGAGGGCCAAAGCAAGGTGCAAGAAAGTGAAAAAATGGGGAAAATACTTACCCTTGAAGACCCTCTTTGAAACCAGCAACTTCAGGGGGTAGAAACTCACTTTCAAACCTCAAGAAGACCTCCCAAGAAGCTTTGTCCAATGGTGGTGGTGTATATCTAGGTGTTGTAGTGTAAAAGTGCAAGGAAATCCAACTGCAAAGCACAAGACACAAACAATATAAAGAGAAAGAGAGATTTTTTTCTTCTAAAGTTGCAGAACCCCTGGCAAAAAGGGAGGTCTCTTGCTTATATAGAGGAATGCAAAACCAAAGCTTCTTCAAGAAGCTTTACAAGGGCTTCATCCCTCCATACATGTGTATGAAGGGGAGCAAACAAAAAATCAGCTGGCTCAAAAGATCTAGAGGAAAACCAGCTGAGACAGGGGGGTGCCGGCCATCATCAATGGCCGGCAGTGGCTCACTGATGGCCGGCAGGGCATCACCAATTTTTGGCAGGAACAAGGCAATGGCCGGCAGTTCCATGCCATGGCCGGCAGCGCACCACAAAGGTCACTTTGAAAGGACCTAGTCAAGGTCTAAAAAAAAATGTAGAAAGGATACAAGGTCCGGGAAGCTCGAACCGGTGACGTTCCGCCGCGACAGTCGAGTACTCAGCGAGCAATCGAACTAGTTGTTGGGTGTACCTGCAAGCACAACCAAGTCTCGAGGACGGTCAAAAATGGGGTGTCTATAGTAGAGCAATCCCCAATCTGGTTGAAGGTCTCCCAATAGCGACTGTTGTAAGACATCAATGTTTCCTTTTCACCCATGTCAATGGAGAGTAACTGGTCAATCTCCACTAGTGTCTTGTTATTCGTTCTGAACCTGGTCACGAAGGCTTCTGCCAACTGTGCCCATGAGGCTATGCTGCCTTCTGGCAGTGTTTCGAACCAAGTTAGACCTAGGTCGCCAAGGCTGGATGGAAACAAGATGCACATTAGGGCCTCGTTTCGCCGACATGCTACCATAACCTGGCGAAAGTGGCTTAAGTGCATGTAGAGGTCTATCTTCCCTACATAAGTGGTGAATTTGGGCTGGTGAAAGCCTAAAGGTAATGGTGCGTTCTCAATTGTCAGAATGAACGGCGAGCTCTGTAGCCTTACTAATACTTTATTCGCTGGTTCGTAAGCAAGGCACGGCATTAGCATTCCTACCTCGACACTCCCATGTGTCCTGAGGGCCAATCGTTGCAGGGCTGAAACTCTGTGAGGGTCGCGAGCCCTGGTATCCTCCTTCTATCGGGCCCTCTCCTCGAGCACTGTTCGTAAGTCTGCTGACTTAGGTAACTTCGTGTGCCTGGATGTCGTTTGGTGCGTGTGCGAGGGCCGATAGCTACTTGCCTCTATTTGTGACCTTTCAGTCCTCGTTCTCCCAGACCTGGAGTAACGAGTCCTAGAAGTCCTTGATTGAGTATCACATGTTCTAAGGCTCCTACTTTCTGCTTGTGATGATATGGTATGTCTGTCACGATCTTCCAAGTAGTGAGGGGGCGTGTTGCCTTTGTGCCCCTCTCCTGTCGCCACCTATTTTCCCTTCATCTGCCGCATCATTGTCTTCATGTCTGCCGCCATTCTCCTTATTAACTCGTCTTGCTCCCTTACGCGATCCTCTAAAACTTGAGGATCCAACTTCCGCCTCTGTCTTTCAGGACTTTGAGAGCGACAGGGACTAGTAGGGCTGAGCAAAGAATCCGTGAAATCCGTAATCCGATCCAGTCCAGTCCAATCCGATAGGTTTGGATTGGTTTTTTGAATCCGTGGTTCAGTTCCGGATTGAAGAATTAAAAATCCGTAGTCCACGGATTGGTTCCGGATTGAACCTCACGGTTCTGGATTGGAACCGATCCGGACCGTATACAAATAGTCTATATTTTTATTATCCTCCCCCATAGTATCTTCTCTTATTCCATATAAAACTAAACTCAATCTAAACCCGCATCATATCTTCTTTTATTACTTTTGTTTGTTAGTTTTTAATTTTAATTTGTAATGGTCTAAATACTTATGGTGAAACCAATTTTCTTATGGTTGTTTAAATTCTAGAATAGTATGTCGCTATTATAAAAAGACATGTTGCTATTGTGAAACTAATATAGCGCTATGTTTATGTTTTTATGAAATTAAAGTGTTATATATATATATATATTTTGTTATTTAATTATGTAAATCCGTGGTACTAAACTGATCCAATCCGTATTTCAATGGATTGGTTCGGATTCACTACAACAAAATTGAATTTTTATGACTTGCAATGCATGCTGTAAAAACTCTTTCACGACATGCATACAAATGTCGTTATATGACATGCCGTGGAAAGTTGAACGTCATTTACGACATACAGGTAAAGTTATAAAAAGTAATCAATTAAACATTAATGGCATACTTTGTATGTCGTATATAATTTTTTACAACATTTTTGTGATGCCATAATCATAATACTTTCCATGACATAATTTTGCATGCCGTAGAATGTTATTTTTAATAAATTTATGACATACTATGTATACCGTATATAATCTTTTACGACATTTTCTTGCATGTCATAAATCATTACACTTTTCATGACATAATTTTGTATGCTGTAAAAGGTTATTTTTAGTATATTTCTGACATACTTTGCATGCCATATATAATCTTTTACAGCATTTTCTTATATGCCATAAATTATTACACTTTTTACAATATAATTTTGTATGTCGTAGAAAGTTATTTTTAATATATATATATATATATATATATATATATATATATAGAGAGAGAGAGAGAGAGAGAGAGAGAGGAAAACCAAATTCAAAGTTCATTACAAGAGTAAACTCAATATATGAACACATGATATTACTAAAATGCCCACTTTAGTACTTGAAAAGCAAATTACAAGATCATATAGCAAATTATATGTACAAATGAAAGCAAAAAGATTATACATAACACAAACCAGTCAAGTCTAATTCATTATTAGGAGAGAGCCAAAGAATCAATTAACTTGGCCACTACCAATGGTAGGGGTTCGAAGTGCAGAAGCTGTAGCAATAGCAACAGGTGCAAGCACACATTCCAGAACAACAGAAAAGCACCTAACTTCCTGCAAAGTCAGGGCAAACTCAACGACCTGTAGAAACCAGGCGAATTTAACATAACACTAAAATAAATAATGCAGATTTGTGTGTGACCATATTTGATTATATATGAAATTATCAAGTATTTATGTTTTTTTTTTTATCAGCAAAAATTATTAAGTATTTATGTCATGTATGCATAGTAAGTAGGGAGAGATTTTGACCTTGACAGCACTAGCAATATTTTTTTCTTGAGGCCTAAATCCTCCAAGAACATTGGTGGCTTGAGGAGTAAGCCCCACATGTCCTATCACTGCAATTCCATCCACATAAACCCAGCATAAATAAACAGAGAAATAAAAACATGTCTCAATAAATAATAACTCCTGATTTATCTGTCTGCCCTTCAAAGGCAAAACCCCAATTCAGGAATGAGAATTGAGTATTGTTCTTTTAGTCAAGAGAAAAAGTCGCAGTATTTTTTAAAATCATAAGCCTCCATTTAATTATGCTTAATGTGATAATCTAGCCATCGAAGTCCAAAGAAGCACTCAGCCTATAGCATGACCTAAGAAGTTTCACCAACTTCTGTTAAGCCCTTATCCAATGAAATGGTTGGTAGTAGATTAGTTCAAACCACTTAACTAACACACAGAAGTAAATTGATGGTAATTTGTACCAAAGTGGCAACATAATGGCAGCATAGCAGTATCATGAAAAGTTCCCCGACGGCACTAATTTGTTATGTTATCTATAATTAACAGGAAAAATAAAAGAATGAGAGATGAACCTGCAGTGAACAATTTCTTCATCAAGGAATACAGGAATACATATCTGTAGTGAATAAATAAATAAATAAATAAATAAAGGAATTTAATGATGCTCACAAGAATTCTTCATGATTCAAAATAAAATATCAACTATCAATGTCCTAAGACTAAGCAAGGGTGAAAAGATTATAGCTGAAACTGGGAACCTTTTCAGCCAAAGCTTTAGTAAGTGCCTTCTGCCCAGCCTTATCTGGCACATTAACACCAGCCCACCCAATCCATCTTGCCTCAAACTCCTTCACACCTACAAAAATAATTAACATGCATTATTAGGTTTCTCTATGTGGGTAGAAATCCAATCCTTACTCTCTTTTTTATTCATTAAATTTGAGTGAAAAGTTGGTTAAAAGTTTGATCTGGTATGGCCACTCCAATCCTTGCCCTTTTTCATCAAATAAACCAAACCAAACCGCTCCCTTGGTTTGATACAAGTTTGGTGAAACGATTGGAGCTCACAGTTAGCTCTTTATTCATCAACTTTGAATTTGATGAAAGAATTGGTGAAGGATTGGAGATGCTCATCTAACAAACCAAATGTAACCCAATAATGCACAAAGATATTAAGATAAACAGAAGTAAGTTAAGAATTATACATAAAACTTACCCAGAAAAGCACTAACTAGACCCCCAGTACTTATCTCCAATGACCAGGACTCCGTACCTCTCCTAACTGCAGAGACCGGCAGCCTGTTAGCCACCACTAACAGTCTTTTGCCCCAGGGAGACATCCTTCAATGAGTACAACAGCAAGTCGAAGAGAACCAGTTCCTGAAAGACCTTGAACAGTAGTAACCTGCAGAATTTTTTTTGTTCAAAAAAATGATTAATTAAAAAGGCCCCTTGACTGGGTCACAGAAATTTTAAAATCATGCATATCCTTTGCTATTCAATTACTGGGTTATCTGCTCCAAATAATAATTCTGTAGTAGCTTTGTTAAATGCTGCCAAACCCTCTATTGGAAGATACTGCAGATGGTAATTTAAAGTTAGTAAGAAATTTAAAAAGACAAGAACAACTCCACGATATTCTATTTAATTGAGTGCTACACATACAATACCTCTTTGTTTTTGCCTCTTTCCAGCACAAGATTCTCTGCCTACAATAGTAAATGTTACAGTTTTTGTGTTAAACTATGGTGACTAAAGATAACAACCTTGGAATCTCTTCTAAGGTCTACTATATTTCTCAGCTAGAAGGGGCTATAGGAGTCTCACCATCAAACAAATACAAACACGTGTACAGGATTTTATTGTCAAAACTTTATTCCTAAAATATCTCTACATTGCTTGCTTATGTGGAAGCACAATCAAATCAAAATACAAATTTCTGACATTTGAAACTTTCTAATTAAACAATTTATAGGCTAAGATTCTTGTTTCAAAAAACCAAACAGCCTACTAATCCTAGACATCAATCAATTGCATTTTTCACCATAGACGCCAGAGTTAAAAGCATTAGGAACATCACCAAACTGTTTTAAAAACATATATCGTTAGATCATATTGCCTGAAGAATTTGTATTGTTTTCAAATAATACTAAACTAACCAACTTGTGAGAAAATGCAGACAAAAGATTTACCTATGGCCGATCATGAACCGGATGATAATTCCTTTCTCTTGTTCCAATTGAAGAAGTTTTTCTCCTAATCAAACCCAAAAAGCTAGTCAAGGAAAGCCATGAAATTAAGCCATAGTAGGACATACACTCAAAGACAATATCAAATTATCACCTTGAGGCATCCAAGTTTGTATAACCGAATCACGCCTCTTCCTACTACTAAAAGCAGTACTAATTCCAATAACTATGAAAGCCTTCTTCCTTGGCAAGCCCTCATGAGTCAATTTAGAGATGTGAGTGAACTCATCAGATCTCCTCATCTCTTGAGAACTTCGAGTAGCAGCCAGCTCCATCTGAAGCGTTGAAATCGACTTGTCTAGTGATCTACCAAACCTCCGAAAAAACTGAATTATCAATACAAACTTCAATTAATCCAGTAAACACACACAAGAAAAAATACGAAGTATGACGAGTTTCAAACTCACTGAATCGTTCCATACAGAGGAGCATGTAGAGATCAGTTAGGGTTTGAAATCAATTGATTGAGAATGCATTTGGCTTCGTAGTCTACATTTCCATATCTCTCACCAAACTCTAACTTCAAATAAAATGATGAATTTGAAGCTTTTGGAAAAAAAATGATCGAGAGACACAGAAAAATTGATCGATTGGGAGAGAAAGTGAATGACATACATTGTGAGGCCATGCGAAGTCGCGCGACCAATCAAGGCAATGCTCGAAAAGAGCTCGAGAGCACGCACGCAGAGAGAGAGAGACGGTTTGGGCCAAAAATATGTACAGATAGAATGAGAGGAGTCAGGGAGAGTGGTGAACGGGGGCTAAAATAATGTTTTTTTTTTTAAAGTTATCGTAAGTTTTTAAATATTTTACATAATTTTTTTTACTTTTTAAATTCAAATAATTTACATAAAAGAAAAATATTTTTTAATTTTTAAAAAAAATCACTCAATTCAAAAAAATATAAAATTTAATACATTTCATATATATATATATATTTCTTATAAGTATTTTACTTTTTAGTTGTATTCAGATTAGGCAAATTTAAAAAGTAATAAATAAATAAATTATTAAAAGAAGGGAAAATATCAAGGTAATTTAAAAAAAATAAAATTACAAATTAGTGAGAAACCATATAAATATTAATCATTAAAGTTATAAACTTTTTCATAAATATATAATTTTTTTTCCAAAATTCCGCTGGGTGCAATTATCCCTTAAAAAAGACACTAAATTATAAAATAATGCATAAATTATTTTTTACATTGTCCTCAATTAGGAAAATTTAAAGTAAGAAGTTTAGTTGGAAATTGTTAGCCTTTTTAAATCAAAAAAAAAAAATCGGATTGAAATTTTCTCTAATAAAAGTTTTCACGATATGGTAATGGATGCCGTGTAAAGTTATAATATTTTACAACATGAATTATATGTCGTTTTAAGTGCAAATATTTTACGACATATTTTTGTATGCCGTGAAAATATGCATTTTTTATGGCATGCTTTTGCATGCCATAAAAAAAATTCGGATTGAATTTTTTTTTTTTTTTTTTTTTTTTTTGTAGAAGTTTTCATGACATGTTAATGCATGCCATGTAAAGTTATAATATTTTATAACATAAAATGTATGTCGTTTTAAGTGCACATATTTTATGACATATTTTTTAAGTCATGAAAATATACATTTTTTACGGGATACTTTTATATGCCATAAATATATGAATTAACGACTTACATAGTATGTATGCCGTTATTGAAAAACCATTAACGGCTTGCAAAAAAAAAATGTCGTAGAATCTACTAATTACGGCATAAATTTAATGTATGTCGTAAAGTTGAAGCCGTAAATAGTTTAGTATAATGTATAAATTATTTTTTACGTTATCCTTAATTAGGAAAATTTAAGGTGAGAAGCTTGGTTGGAAATTGTTAGTTTTTCTAAATCAAAAAAAAAAATCGGATTGAAATTTTTTTAATAAAAGCTTTCATGACATGCTAATGCATACTGTGTAAAGTTATAATATTTTACGACATGAAATGTATGTCGTCTTAAGTACAAATATTTTATGACATATTTTTGTATGCTGTGAAATTATATATTTTTTACAGCATGCTTTTTCATGCCATAAAAAAAATTCGGATTGAATTTTTTTTTTTTTTTGCAAAAGTTTTCATGACATGTTAATGCATGACGTGTAAAGTTATACTATTTTACAACCTTAAATGTATGTCGTCTTAAGTGCAAATATTTCACGACATTTTTTTGTAAGTCGTAAAAACATAATTTTTTTACAGCATACTTTTGCATGCTATAAATATATAAATCAACGACTTACATGGTATGAATGCTGTTATTGATAAAACATTAACGGCTTGCAAAAAAAAATGTTGTAGAATATACTAACTACGACATGCATTTAATGCATGTCGCAAATATGATGCCGTAAATAGTTAGTTTTGTTGTAGTGGTATTTGTAATTTACCTATAAATAAAATGTGTGATCTAGATTTATTATTCTTTGCCACATTGATCTTAAAAAAAAAAAAAACTATTAAAGTAGTTTGTGTAATATTTTTCAAAAAAATGTGAAACAAATTGCAAAACTAAAAAGAGATGTGACACTGTCAAAGCAAAGTATAGAAAATTAGGTGAACTATATCCAGGTGGGAGAAAGAGACATGAGAGATACAAGTGTGTCTGCGGTAGAATGTAAATGAAACATTATGAGAGTGTAAGTGTCACTTGCATCCCTTCATATGTTGATAATTATTTTTCCCTTCTCTCTTTTGTTTGTAATTTTCCATAAAAAAAAAGAGGTTGAAGTACTTACCTATAGGAGTTGAAACTCCTAGTTTAAATGAGTTCATTTACTTTGACTGCTTTCAAAAATCAAAATTTATATAGAGTAAAATATGGCTTCAAAATTTGACACCACTAGTTATCAAGTAGTGTCACCTTAATTCAAATATTTTAAACTTATATTTTAACTTTAAATTGATTGTAAAAAAATAAATAAATAAATAAATAAATTTTAACTCATTTATTGTAAAATAAAAAATAAAATAAAAATTAATTAAAAACGTGTATAATGATTTCATAAAATAACATGAGTTTGAGAAATAAATTTAAAGTGCTTGTGGATAGGTCAAAATTCTGGAGGATGTGTAGTTGATTTTATCATGAATCAGCAAGCAATCCTCATTTACAAACGTACGTAAATGGAAATTATTAAACAATATAGTTGTGGTTGTGCAAATTAAAACACCTTTGTTTTTATGGTAATTAAATGCCAATCAAAACACAGTCTAACCAAACTACAGCAACCCTAAACTAATGAATCCACTCTCTCTCTCTCTCTCTCTCTCTCTCTCTCTCTCACACACACACACACACACACACACACACACAAACACACACCTTAGTCTGCAAGGCAGTTTTGAAATTCAAGGACACCTCCAAATATCTTTAATCATTGAAGAGGGGGACTCTCTCTCTCTCTCACACACACACACCTTAGTCTGCAAGGCAGTTTTGAGATTCAAGGACACCTCCAAATATCTTTAATCATTGAAGAGGGGGACAAGCTTAGGAAATTTAATCCCCATTGGAGGGACTTTCTAGTAATCTCTAAAAACAAACACCAAATTGTTTACAAAACAAAAGTATCCCAAAAAATAATAGAAAAGAAAGAAATAAATAATTACCTCCACATTTTCTCACTTGAAAGCAACATCTTCTCACTTGCATTGGGCGCTTGAAAAACACTCTCCAACCAATTACACAATGCATATTAGTCTTCCTTCAATAAATCAAGAAATTAAAACAGAATCCCTTCAATAAATCGAGAAATTAATTAAGACAATAATTAAAACAAAATCGAACACAAAAAAATATATTGATGATAGATTTTTAAGAAGTGACCCCATCAACAAACTTTATACTTAAAATTTATATTAATCAATATGTCTTTATTTGATTCTGTGTTTATTTTATGAACTCTTAAACTTACTATATTCCTTTTAGATTACTAAAAATTAGTTCTAATGCAAACACAAAAATTAATCAAACAAAGCTGGTTGCCAAACTTGAACTACTTTATTTATGCTTCGTGCAAAGCTTTTGACCTGAGATTGTAACCACGAGCTATGATTGAGAGTGGTTATAGCATTCTTTTGCTTTACATTTTATATTTTAGAAATAAATTTCTATTTTTGTGGTGTCTTCTTCCCCATGAGGACTTATATAAATAGCTCTCTCATCTTCCTTCAGCAAACCAAAGAAAAAACTTTCCTCTCTCTCTCTCTCTCTCTCTCTCTCTCTCTCTAAAAATAGCAAAATTTCTCACTTTCTCTCACTAGAAATGGAGATGGAGCCAAGCCCACCAATGATAGCCAAGAAACTATGGAACATAGCGAGGATAGTGTTCTTCATGTTGAGAAAAGGCATATCAGAGAGCAAACTAATGGTAGATCTCCACATGCTCTTCAAACGTAGCAAAGTCGCCGGAAAAGCCCTAGGCAACCTCATGCTCCACCACCACTCCACCCTGAGTTGCCGCTCCAACGACATACACCTCTCCTTCGTGTCGCCTCGAGAGTATGAGTTCAGTTGCAGCAACAGCCCAGCCTATCCCTCGTACAACTCGAGACGTAAACACAACCGCCATGCTGACGATTTAAACATCGTCAGTAAGGTGTTTGAAATTTTGAATAAAGAGATGCCAGAGGCGTCACCGCTCGTGCTTCCAGGGTTCGGGCGGACCCCGATGGTGAGGCAGCTGAGGGTGACAGATTCACCATTTCCAATAAAAGATGGTGACGATAATACCCAAGTGGACATGGCAGCTGAAGAGTTCATTAACAAGTTTTACAAAGATTTGAAGTACCAAAAGAGGATGGCTGCCCTAGCATCTCCATCACCCTATCACATAAGGGCTAGTTAATAAACGATGTCAAAAAATTTCTAGTCATATTGTGATTAGATTCTAAATTTGGGGTTCCATGGTTTGCACAAGAATGTGCATGTCAAAAGCTACCGCACTTTCCCGTTGGATAAACTTATCACTCTCTGCAACATCTGAAGACGTTGAGTGATTTTTACATGACAATATTGCGTTTGAATTTTGAATTTGAGAAATTATTTACAGAGGCATAGAAAATGAGGAAAAAAAATATTGGACTTTGGTTTGTTCGTTTTTCTTCTCTCTGTAAATTTTTTTAATAAATTTAAAATTCAAACACAATCTTACTGTCACAAAGACTTCATTTTGATGTTGCAGAAAGTATTGGTTTGCTTGTGGGGTTGTGCCCTGGCCTCAATGAAAAAAGCAAACGCTTCTTAATTTCAACAATAATATTTGTGTTTTTCGGGTCATAGTGCTCTTTTTTTTTTTTCAATGTCTTTTCTTTTCTTTTCTTTTTTTTTCCTTTTTTTGGGTCTCAATGTGAATGTTAAGTAAAAATCATAAAGATTATGTTCATTTATCTTCTTTCCACAAAGTTTTGTATTTTACTGTATTGCATGGTAAAGACAAAGGGAAAAAGAGCATTGTTTGCTGGCGAATGAAAACTTTTAATTGGTACTCCTATTAACTCTCAAGGTTGGTGGGTTGGGAAGCTTGGATTTATAGTGTTTTTTATTTTAACGACTTTTTTGACCTTTGGTAGTTTTTGCTCCTGGCCGGTCCTCTAGGTTCATCTCAGTAGTTGGGATGTCACTTGTCATGCACAACCATTTGTGACAACATTTTTTTTTTGGGTTAAATTATATTGAGTTCTAAAATTAATAAAAAGATAATAAATTATATTATTTAAATAAAATTATATCAATCTCTTTTCAGTAAGATTAAAACGACCAAAAATTAATACATGGTGTGTAGGCACAAGTATAAGGAAGGTAAAAATATATTTTTTAATATAAAATAAATGACGATATTATTTTTCTATCTATAGGATTAACCAAAAACTGAGAAGGGGTTTGAGTATTATGTGACTTAAAATTTTAAGAAAATCTAATGTAATTATACTAAACTTTGAGAGTTCAATATACTTTTTCCGAATTTCAAAGAGATTGGTGTAATTAACCCTTTTTTTTTGTTTTAATTTCTTTTGTAGTTTTTCAATTTAGCAATGCTACATGCAAAAAATTATATTGAAAATCACCTTAAAAAGAATTATTTGGATGAAATTTATTATGAATATAACCCACATCAGATGGAGTTTAATTTTATGACAAATTGCATCTATAGTCTCTATTTGTAGTTTACCTCTTCTGTCAATTTGATTCTTATAATTCTAATTGCCTTAATTTCACCGTTGAATTTTTTAAATTGTGAAATGTCAAAAATTAAAGGGCAAAATTAATACAATTAAGACTACAAAGACCAAATTGACATAAAAGACAAATATAGGGACAACAAGTATAATTTTCCCTTAAAATTGAGTATTCACATGAGGGACAACACATTTTAGGATATTAGAGGAACAAATTTTGTATGATAAATTACACTTTCACCTACCAACGTTTGCTTAAATATCATTTTATTCTCTCATGTTTTACCTTTCACTCAATTTCAAGCACAGGAGTGATGAAAGGATCATATGAAACATCAGTTGAAATCTAAATATTTAATTATTGAAATTAGAAAATGAAGGTTCAAAGTGACATTTAAATAAATATTTATTTCTTTTTTTTTCCAAGTACAAAACTTGCTTGTTTTCAATTATTTTTTAGGAAAAATTACATGCCAGCGGTATATCTATAAAATTACTACATATTAATGAAAAAAAAAATTATGATTTTAATTATCAGTATTTATAAAATTTATCACTTATTTGTAATTATTTTTTTAAACATTCACTGAAAAGTAATTTCCATTACTATTATTTTTTTTAAGATGGGTAAATTGGGTTAGCATAATTATCCCCTAAAAAATAAAATAAAAAATAGATGGTAGGGTTAGTGAGATGCCCCGCCCTATGTTGGATTACAGCTTGTACAGAATCTAGTTTCGGGTTAGTAGTCATCTTCTTGTTGAGGCTGTCATGTTACCCCCAAGAACAAATGAGAAGCTTCTTGGTTTTGAATGTGGTCCTTCATTTTATTTTTAAATTAAACATGAAATACATGACTAAAAAATAGATATTAGATTGTTGGAGTGGTATGCATGAATAGATCACATCTTAGTTGTTTATTAACATCAACTCTTTTTCTTAGCCTCTTATTTTATTTTATTTTTTTTAACTACATACAAAAAGCATAAGAAAATTTGACAAGGTAAAGGTAAGAATAATGTACAATTCAGGCACCCCCTTTAGAATAGTAATTATTGGTTGGTCTCGTATTATCATGTTACTTTCTGTCTCAAATAATTCTTAATTGGCCTAATAAAAAAATATAATGAAATCGTAAATTTTGAGTTAATTTAATTTTTTATATGAATAAAAAGATTCAGATCTACTCCGGTAGCTTAAAGCAGTCTTCAGAAGGCACGTTGGTATTAGCGTAAGATTTTTGATATGAAACTATGTACAGACATTAGTTTGCATTGTAATCCCAATGGTGTGTGTGAGGATAATTTATAAATAAATAAATTTGATTAGAATACGAATTATCTTTTGTAATTTTAAAAATTATATTTCATTTCCAGAAGTTTTTAATTTTATGACAAATCGTCCATATTATTAACAAATTATCAAGTCAATTAATAGTTTTTAATAATATTATAAACATGTTTCAATTAATAATTTTATTATTGTATAGGAGAGAAATTATGAATTTCATTTTTTTAGTTAATTCTGTTAAATAAAAAATTCTAACAATGGGGTATTTGTAATTTTTTAAATTACATGGGGTAATTTGTACTTTAAACAAATCTCAGAAAGTGTATTTGTAATTTACCCTCTACATTTTTAAATAACTTTTTAGATACTTTTATTAGGTGAGATGGAGTTTTTACGAGCATTAGGGCCGAGCTAGGCCTAGGCGTAGTAATAAGCCGTTCTATGGGCCGTGGTAAAAAGGGCTTAGTGAAGTGGACCTTAGTGTTAGCTCGGTCCGAGTAGTTACGGTCACCACGGTCGGAGTGGTGATAATTAGCTCGGTCATAGTATTCGGAGCCCAAATATTTGGGCTTCTTGTGGTGGACCTTGCTCTTGTTAGCTTGTTCAAAACTTTCTGTAGTTAGCTCGGTCTCAACAAACAAAACCGAGGTACAGGTGAACAAGAGCCGAGCTATGTGTTACATGTGAAGGCACTGGATTGAGTATGACAAAGGGTTGGTGTTAGCTCAGTCATACTGTTATCAAACCAGGGTAAAACCATCTCACTTGGTTTAAACAGTGAGGGGGGTGTTGAAAGATAAGCATTATCTTTCAGGAGTATGATTCTTAGGAGGACTCTACATGGAGGAATAAGAGTCCTACTAGGATTGTGACAGGCAAAAGTTATAAAAGCTCACAACAGAACCTATGTACAGGTAGCACACAACTTTGACTCTCGAATACACAGAGTTTTTGTCTACTTGTCTATTTTGCTGACTTAGGCATCGGAGAGGTATCCGGCACACACCTGCCGGCTAGCTCACGTTTGTGTTTTTAGGGAGTAAAGCGACGACGTTTGGAGGAGCGCAGACTTGATCAACAGGATTATACGAGAACATTATTTCGTGCTCGTTCAATTGGCGCCGTCTGTGGGAATTCCATAAAGAACAAAACCTCTTGATCAAGCTTTCCTCTCTAATTGGAAGCAATGGCACACAATGAAGACTTGCCACAATCAGCTATTGATGGGCAAACTCCGGAGGGGTGTGGAAGGCGCGAAGGTTTGCCTTCTATCCCTCCCATGGCGGATTTAGAACCCCAACGACAAAACCCCCAGAGGGATGCAAGGGGGAGACGGGGCGACAATCCCCGACACTCTCAAAGTCCTAAAAGACAGAGGGAAAGGATGGACTCTCAAGTTCTGGAGGATCGCGCGAAAGAGCAGGACGAGTTAATAAGGAGGATATCGGCAGACATGGAGTCAATGAAGCGCCAGATAAAAGGAAAAGAGGTGGCGACAAGAAAGGGGCGCAAAGGCAACACGCCCCCTCGCCACTCGGAAGATCGTGGTAGGCATACCACACCATCGCAAGCAGAAAGTAGGAGTCTTAGAACAGGCGACACTCAATCGCGGACTTCCAGGACTCGTTACCCCAGGTCTGAGAGAACAAGAATTGAGAGGTCATGTACTGAGGGAAGCACCTATCGGCCCTCGCACACGCACCAGACGTCATCTAGGGACATAAAGTTGCCTAGATCATCTGACTTGCGAACTGTGCTTGAAGAAATGGCTCAATGAAAAGAAGACACCAGGGCTCGCGACCCGCGCAGAGTTTCAGCCCTTCAGCGGTTAGCCCTTCGGACGCATGGTAGCGTTGAGGTAGGAATGCTAATGCCGCGCCTTGCTTACGAACCAGCAGACAAAGTATTAGCAAGGTTACAAAGCTCGTCGTTCGTTTTGGCAATTGAGAACACACCACTACCCTCAGGCTTCTACCAGCCCAAATTCACCACTTATGAGGGGAAGTCCGAGCCCTACATGCACCTGAGCCACTTCCGCCAAGTTATGGCAGTATACCGGGGAAACGAGGCTTTAATGTGCATCCTATTTCTATCCAGCCTTGGCAACCTAGGTCTAACCTGGTTCGAAAGGCTACCAGAAGGCAGCATCGCCTCCTGGGCACAATTGGCAGAGGCGTTCGTGACTAGGTTTAGAACGAATACCAAGACACCAGTGGAGATCGATCAGCTACTCTCCATTGACATGGGCGATAAGGAGACGTTGAGATCCTACAACAGTCGCTACTGGGAAACCTTCAACCAGATTAGGGATTGCCCTACAAACCTTTCCATTGCACAATACAAATGGGGCCTGCCAGTCGATAACAAATTGAGGGACTCAATTATTATGACGCCACCCCTCACGATGGAGGCCTTAATGGAGAGAGTGCACCAACATATTCGCGTGGAAGAAGATAGCGCTCGTGCTAAGGCAAAATCCGGCATAACAGCAATGCCAGATAAAAAGACTACAGCAAAAGTCAACACAGTAGAGCAACCTAACAAGAATGGGCGAGGCAGGCGGGCCAACAGAGAGGACCCAGACAAAATGTGGTTAAGAGTCCACACTGCCATTACCACAGTGTTCAAAAAACCAATCTATCGAATTCTCAGTGAGATACGCAATGAACCTTTCGTCCGGTGACTAGCATAGTTGGGAAAAGCACAAAAAGACTATGACGAGAGGTCCCAGTGCACCTTCCATGATGAAAAGGGCCACCGCACTAAAAATTGCACGTCGTTGAGGCAGCATTTAGAGAAGTTAGTGGCAGCTGAGCACCTGGACCAGTACATAGAAGGAGGAACACAGCCAAGCCCCAGAACCACAACAACCCAAACTGGATGCTGGTCGACGCTCCACCTCAAGGCGTGATCAACG